TCAATTGTTTTTTGTACACGACATGGTATCCGTCACAAGTTTTCTGCATGAAAACAGCAAAATTACTTGACAATTGTGCAGACGTACACCAATTTAGGACTTCAAAGTTCGGCACTTACGAATTTGTGTTGAAACGTAGGGAATTCACCGAGTGTAACGTCGCTCCGGTTCCATAACAAATCCCCACGTGCTTGTCTGTAATGACAGCTCATAGTGTGGTGACGTCGGCGTTCATTCAGTCAACACGCGTGACGTGAGTAGCCTGAGGATGAGGTAATATACCCACAGTAAGTTACCTGATGGCGCCCAGGTACCGGACGGCACCATCGAATACTTTCACTCTCATCTGAAGGTTTGGAAACCCGTTCACTATTCATGGAAATTTCCCCAGAATGAGATCAGTCCCCGATAAACACACAACAATGATGTTGAAATCGTTTGGATGTAGCAAACAAGTGACTTTAGATTACAGCTCTCTTGCAAATACGTAGTCTGAAAGTGCGTGATGGAAGTATATTTGAAGTGATTGAAGCTACAACTATTTTTGAAGAATTTATCCACACAATATGCAACATTATACAACGCCTGAATGAATCCCCGTCATCTGAGTGGCGGGTTGTTGATCACATGTCACTGAATTATTCGTCCCAACCAACGACGCGGTCGCACTGCAAAAATAGAAGTTCTATTCCACGGTAAATAGAAGAAGATCCATTGCTCAGTCACACTTTTGGTGGCTCTAACCAATCAGATGACGAGGATTTAATCTGGTTTTGTATAAAACAAATAGGCCCAATGAATGTTTCACATTCGTGCAATGGTAAAAATAATTTTATTCGGTGACGGATGGAATGTCCAATTTCACTCGGCTTCGTCTCGTGGAATGGAACTTTCCATTCTGTCACCTCATGAAATTATTCTTACCATTGCACTCATAAACATTCATATTTTTTTTGCATAATAGTCATGGTATAAAATACTGTAGTCGCTAAATTAATATCGTACGTCTCATACATGGCTTGAGACGTTTAAATTTGAAAGAAAATGGTATTTCAATGCAATTTTAGGTCGTCAACGACAAGTTATTCCATCTAATTCTTGTTTGATATATTTTGTTTTGTGTACTTTTAATAAAAAAAACACCCAAAACTAACCCCCTCTCCCAAAAAAATTCCGCACAGCATTGGCTTGACTCCGAATCGAAAGTGAAAGACAAATCCTAAAAATATAAATGAATTGGACACATCTATATTCCAGCTGCTGGCTTTGCAAGTATAAAGAATAATATGTCCTGGCAATATTAAATATTAATATTCCTATCTTTTGTGAGCCTGCAAGACGTCCGGCAGTTTCGTTTTTGGAGTTTTGAATAATAACATTTGAATAACATTAAGTATTTCATAGTTTGTCTTCAGCCCGGTCTGCATATTTTATATATTACAATTTAATAGTTAAAATATAGGCCTACATTATAACTGATCACAGTAAAGGCACCTCATTAAGGAAATATTTCAGTCTGCATAAAGTATATATTACAATATAATATAAAAATATACATATAATATGTCACAGTAAGGCAGCCTAACCGCCCATAAAGCTACACAATACTACTGAGTAGTAACCTGTAGTATGCATTTCTTTCCATACAAGTGTGCACAACACATGTACATGTAGTATTCTGTTGTATTTGGTCCTTGACCTCTAAAGAGCCTTTAGGGGTTAGGGATTAAGGGAATATTGAAATTCATTTAATATCACATGAAGCCGCATTCCTATTTTAAATCACTGACATCATTCTAGTATGGTACATTTGGTGGTATGGTATATTTCTCGCATTATCACTAGTATCATTTGTACTATAATAATGCGATTAAAAACATTCCCACATAGGGTAATCTCAAAGATATTGATATGATTCTCTCATTTTGTTTGCCTCAACAGTACGTTTTGGCCTGTCAGTGCGTACACAAAGCCATCATTTTGAGGCGATATTTCTAATAATTTGTGGCGAAAGTGTGCAATAATACTTGTGGTGCGTTCGCGACCATCAACATCTTTTGAAAAGAAGTCTATGCTGGCCATGCAGTCTGTCATACTGACACGCGGGTCCACTCGAACGGGGTATAGCCGTGTAAAGATGGGGGCACATTTATTGTTCCTGGTTCGAGATAAGCTTTGCTTGCTCTACCCCCAACTCTTGCAACGGATTAACGGGTTAATCCCCTCCCTGAGTATACATGCGGGCGAGGGGTTGCCTCACCCAGACCAATTATCCTGATTATTGAGCGCTGAAGCCTCCTTCATGGTGCTATGAACCCGGATGGTAAAAGTGGGTTTGACAAGTTGAGCGAGGGGCTTTATTTTGGACCAAACCCTGCAGAGATCGGACTGTCATCTAAACAAAAACAAGAAGTAGATTGATACACTGATTGTGTACATAAGGACGCTTTCTCTCGTGTTTCGCTGGGTCCTCAACCGACGTTTTACCAGTAGAGTAACTGGGAGGGGGACTGTAGAGATGGGAGGCGCCCCCCCCCCCGTCCCTTGAGGCTTGTTGCCCCCTTACGTCAAAAAATGATGTTTTTTTTGTATTGTTGTAAATCCATCCGGCAAATGAGGCACACTAGAGGCTTTCTGCAGATTGAATCACACACTGTATTTCATAGTTTGTCCAACAAGTTGTTGTCTCGAGATATATTACAGACTATAGTTGCTTTTATTGTGACCGCCGTCAATACTGCTATCTTCAGTTCCTTGCCCGCACCTTCGCGACGTTATCGAGCGACCCATTCTTGCATGTAAGGTGAAAAGACGATTAGCGGGGGTCGTTGGCAGCGTTTGAGGTCGTCCAAAAAAAACAGACCGGAAAGTAGCCTAGTTTCAAAAGAACAGTTCGAGATCAATGTGCAGGTACCAGCTTAAGCAGAGTCACGGAAGATCAAGGATTGAAAATGTGAAGATAAAGTAGAAACTAATTAAGATATGTGAGCTTAATAATTAAACAACTGATATTGGTGTTGCTATTAGTGAGTATCCAGTTATTCGTTCTGTTTTATTCAACACAGTTTATGAATTATAGATATCATTTTCATCATAGTTTTTGAAGAAAATTTCGAAAGGCAAATCCATGCAGGGGAAAAAAACGTCGACATTCGTCTAAGGGTCTGCATCCAAAGATGTGGCCTTCCGGAAGTATAAGGTTGTAAAAAACATAAACAAAATGAACTCAGCATTTTGTGAAGGTGAAACTGAAGTTCACTGCTTGCGGAAAGAACAATTTCAGTCATTTAAAATGTCCTCTTCGTTTTTCGAATCTTTCCAGAGCAGATGGTTTTTCAGGTTACAAAGAATACGCAAACTCATCCACGATTCTAGACTGGATAATTTCTTTGCAGCAGCGCATTTTAAGCAGTTGTCCATAGGGCACCAGACCACCTTGTCCTCGTTCCCAGCGGACCTGATTCGTTTATGGAATCGCAGCAGGAAACGAAAGGTTTCCTTGTTCTGGGGATTTCTCTGATTAAGCAATCATGTTGTCAGCTCAACTTCGACGTTTTGTGGAACATGAGGTTGCGTTCCCTTCTCAAGGAAGTGGGTTAAAAGGGCAACCCCCCCCCCCACCCCACGGACGAGGAAATACTTATTGCCAAATTGAATTTACTCGCAAACTTGGAACAAAGGACTGGCTCGGTTTGAGAGGAAATGCCGAATCACGTGGGGAAAGTGCGAACTTAAGGTGAATCTGTGACGGTCATCATGTAGGGTTTTTTTTGTGGTCAACTTGAACATGTCCCTACCCGAGGAAAAACGAAAAGTCATTTATTTAATTCGTCATGAAAGTTAAAATTGACTGATAGAAACTTTTTGCCCAATGAACAGGATCTTCGAACCTTAATTTGGGACAGAACCTTTGAAACGGATCCTTTTTTTTTGCAGATTTGTCTTCAACCGGTCAATCAGGTATGATGAAGACATAAACGTTAGAGATGATATCATAGATAAAACCAAAACTAGTTTGGTGATTAACTCCTAAATATGAACTATGATCCGTAAATAGTGAGGATTATCATCTTGCTATAGATTATGATTCTGAGCTTCCTTTATCTTAGCCACATTTTGAACGTTTGCAAAATTAAGTCAGTCAATTTTAGTACCTCGGCAAAAAGTAAGCCTGCGCATGCGCTCTTGAAAGTGTTACATGATGTTCCTTGCTCTATGGGTATAGTAAGCCAGTTTCCATATGGTTGTGTAGTCAATGTGTATACAGGGCATGCAAGTCAGGAAAAATCACTCGTCTTTTTGAACATGAAATATGTCCCTTTTTTGCTTGCTCTGCATCGTGATCTAGTTAACTATTTTTAGACAAAATGCTACAACTTAGGCCTACTAAATACTATACGGTTTTATCACCAAAAGTATTTGAACATTGAATGTCAAACTCATGGTTCTTTTTTAGAGCTCCATGGTTTGATTAGAAGTGGCAACTTGTCAATGAGAATCAAACCTGACAGAGCAGACTTACAAAATATGATTCTGAAGTTTCATAACAGAAGTCAAGATTAACTTGATTCATTGGCCCTAAAAGCTTCTTATAGAACAGTGGCCAATATATGACACAACCATGCTGCAAATGTTACAGTTCCTTTGTTCTGTGTGAAATCCCACCACGTGCTGGAATGCGCCGCCCTTGGGCCATGTACTGTACATGTATACACACGCTCACGCTACAACTGTCATAAAAGGAAACGAGCAACCCTGTCAAAACTGTCTCGTCCAATGTTGTGTCGCTATTACCAACAAGCCTACTTTGCATAAACGCTCAACGCGCTGCAGCCTCCATTCAACATTTGGCGGGGTTTGTAAATACGATTAGCATATCAAAGCAGATACGCTCATTAACATATTCTCAGTGAATGGCTGTCAAAGTGTTGGAAGGCGCTGATTGGTTAGCGGTGCGCGGGGCGTGTCTTCGCTGCCCGCCGGTGCAGGGTTACAACGACCACGTGCTAGCAGCAGTCTGGCTGGACGCATCGTTTGGCCAGACCTGTACTGTCAAATCCGTATTCATTTACTCTGTCACAATCAGCCAGCAGCACCACGCTGTCACGCTATACTACTCGTCTATACCACGTTGGATGGTTTATTTCCTTCGACTCCTATACTGGTACCGAACCGTCTTTGTTGTTGCAAATACCTGGGAACATTTTCCCTGCCTTCGTCCTTCTGGATTTTCTTGATTCGTGGATCGGCTCTCGAGCGAAGGAAGAGGCCACAACCATGCGAATTTTCAACAAAAAAGGTGAGCGATTTTTGCCGATGTGTCTACCGATTTTGCCAGGCTGTCTGCAATATGGTTCATTTTATCATTACGAAGCAGTATCATTATCACTGCAGCCCTGCCTGCACTGATCTTCGAGTACACGTGTACATGAAAATACATTGATTGATCATCACCCTCTGTTTTTACTATATACATGTACCCTACTCATAAACCTTGTATGATGATGCCCTTCTTCATTGCATCTGATGAAGTACTTGCAGCTACAAAAGCTTATGCACACTTGCACTCTAGTTAGTCAAAGTGCTACCTTACTTTTCCATGTGAAAATACATGCATGCCTTTTCCTATGTGGTCAAAATTGTATGTAGTACATGTACATGTACATGTATAAGTTGTCAGAACAATCGAGTTTAATAAAAATTTATATATGGCATTGTTTGCAAGCAACAAATTTGCTCTTCATCTAGGACTATTGAGTTTTTACCACGGAGGACGGTATCACCATGTCATATTGTCAGTTTATCTATCGTATGATGTTGAAACGGAGCCAAAAATAAACATATATACTTACTCATATTCGTCGGATCATGACATCATCCATAACCGACCGATCTGAGTTGGCCGACTGGTCTAAATGCGTCACTGCCGCCGACCGCGTGCTCGTCCAATTTTAGACATGACCAACATGGTGGATTACAAGTTTAACCATGGAGCTATAAAACACAACCGCATGCTCGTGATTGTGTGGCGGTCTAGGGCGTTGTGCCAAACACGTGGGGTATCGGCTGAAAAGGAAACTGTTTGAAAATATCCACATTTGTTTTTACAATCGATGACATTGCGAGTAACATGACACAACTAGAAATGTGGTAGAGGTTTTCAGGGGAAAAGTTGCATACCTGGACACCCTGTGCACCAACCCTATGAGACTGGCCTGAAAAATTCAAAGTGTTTTCTCAGTAAATGCTTCAATATTTTTCCTGCTAAATTTGTTTTAGGACATGTTATTGCTTCGGATGGCTGATAGGTACGGTCACTGCAGGGAAAATTAGTGATGTCCATGTATGGAATTCTTTCCGTTTTCAGGGTGACCTGTTGATTTGGGTTTTGTTTAGAAATTAAATGGCAGACTATCAGGTGGTTGATGTATCATTTGTAGCAGTGTAGGTATGATGGTTGTATGCATAACTTCGTGTATGTTTAGGTCCCATAATGGGGTCGTGGTTCATATATCAAAGGCATGGTGCGGAGAGGGTTAGTGGGGCTACATTCCGTCGGAGGTCGGTTACATCAGGTCCGGGTTTGAGACGCTTAAAACTTAAGTCGTCTGCCACGCTTTCTCTAAATCACATTTGTGTCTGTGCGATTTTATCCGGACGTGGGAAAAGTTGTCGAATCTGGGTACGTGATGAACAGAAAAAGGGTTTTGTAAAAAAAAAAAAGATCAAAGTGCCACTTTTCGCTCTCCGCATTGCGTGACCGTCACACTAGAAAGTTGAATTGAAAACACCTCATGTTCACGCACGAATGCAATGCATTCTTTTCTAAGCTTTCATGACGCTTTAACTTTTCTGAGTCGGCTTCTTTTTTTTACTTCAACTTTTAAGGCAAAATTTACTACTTTTAGCATTTCCTGTGACAACGTGTAGAAAAGACTTTCGAAGTTGAAGCTGACTCGATTATCGTAACCGTCCACCCATGACAGACCCACAACCACTCTATAGCACGAACGTTATTCACTACACAATTGTCGAGAAGGTATTTTTCTTTGTACTTATTCGGTATTGTATTTTGTTTCATACATAAATAGAATGCATTGAGTAACCCAGTGACTTAAGTGTAACACTCACGGGGGGCGTACCAGCAACTGTTTGCACACGTCAACTAGAACAAGCCGTTTGTTTGAGAAACAAAGTGGCGCGTACGAACTAAAACTGGATTTTACGACTTGAAAACCAACTAATAAAAAGCTGTTCTCTTTTTTTTCCCTTTTTTTTGCCCTCTTTCCGTACTTTTCCTGCTGCTGCCATTTCAAATCCACAAGGTCATTCTTCTTGGCAGCATGTGCGAAAGCGCAGCATTTTTGACACCACTTGGGGAAAGGAAAAAAGCCTGACGTGATCGCTCGTAAATCTGGGATTCTAATAATGTCACGATGTCAAGTTGAGTCTTGAGATCTATGTGAGTTGGGGAAAAAATCCCCCCTAAAAAAAAGTTGGCATGTGGGGAAGTGACACAATATCGGGAGGTTCCCGGGGTTCGTGTGTGATAGCCGCTCACGGGTTGGCAACGGGACCCTGACGCAGCATGCATCACACAACACGTGCTGCAAGGCTTATTACATACTACTAGTTCAGTGCAATCATGTTTTTATAGCTGGGTTCATTCCCTTGAGTCAATTTCAACTTGAAAATAGAACTGAAAAGTTGAGAAACTGAGCAAGGGCAGCGGGAAGTATAATGCGATGTTGCAAGGTTTGTACTATGAGCACAGGGAAGGAACATGGTGTATGATGCAATAATAGTCTGGCATGTTAAGGCAATATGCCAATACAGATAAGTATAGACCGGGATTGTTAACATGTATAGCATTTAAGTTTTATACCTGATAAAATTTTCCAGATACGGACCTGATAAGTCCCATAGGGTCGTCTGTATGTAAAGATGTGTGGATTAGATAGTATCATATGGTGTACCATCAGTTTTCTGTGTCCCTATAGTAACGCGAGCGTATTGCATGACCACAGACTGCGCCCGAATAACTCTGGCTATAACCAGCCAACTTTTGCATTGTCATACAATCACTCAGCTTTGTGTACAAAGTCGAAGCACGTTTTTTTTTTCCTCATACAATTCTCTGGTCTTTCCGGCGTGTTGTGCTGGTAACCCCCAAAGGCTCTTTGATTACCAATTCTATAGGGGAGCTGTCAACGTGATATAAGCACACCCCCACGGTCCATTCAGACGGTGCAATCAATAAGAATTTATATCCTGCAACTGAAAAGACGGGATACGGATTAACAGGGTGCTTTAAACTTAAAAGCCAGAGCTGTGTATTTAAACGTTATACGTGTGGGTTTACTGGAAGCATGGCGACCGATTTTTTTTTGACAGGAACCCCTTCGGTTGTTTGTCAGTGCTTGAGCAAACTGTCAAAGTTTGCTCTGGTGTTACGTCATCGCTCTTTGAATTTTTGAAGTTTATCATCGTCGTTTTTTTGTGTCTTGAAAAGAGTGCTGCCGCTTTAGTACCCGGTCCCAATTTAGTGCCAAAAGCAAACCTGAAGTAATCACTTGTAACTGCAAAGTGAAACCAGGACTTGAGACTTGACCAGCATTTTCTACAAGTTTTTTTTTATCAGTGGGTGTGATTTGTGATCTTTGTAAAGACACACCGGATGACATGCTCGGTGTGCGCAGTCCTATAGCAAATATTGACGGTTTTGCTGTCGTCAGTTCAACGGGGCAAGTTTAAAGTGTGCTAGTTGTGAAGCTAGAAAAAAATGAACCGGTTTTCTAAACTTTGCCCTCGTGCACGGGGACCAGTGTAGATGAAAGATTTGGACTACATCACGCGCCCTTGGGTGAAGTGTTACAGAAACCACGAATTAGGAGCATTGACCAGCGGTACACACGGGGAAAGCTTTGGTGGAAGCGTGGCCCGGATTGCGTCTCGCTGGGCTATTTTTAACCGATCTCCCGCCGAGTGGGTCCCTGCGTCTTGGCAGGTGAGAGAACACCTCCAAGGGAAATGGTCTCGTGTGGTTCATAATTCAGTCAGTCTTAGCAGGGCGAACAAAAAAAACATGATTAAATTGTGTCCCTATATGTGCCGATCTACTCAACACCCAGACAAAAACCCCTTCAGAAACTCGCTCAATGTGCTGTCCATTTTCTTTCAGACGTTACAGGTCTGCAACTCCATCAGCTCAGCAAGAGCAAGGCGAAAAGAAAAAAAAAATCGAACAGCCTTTTGAAAGCTACCGAATTCCTTGAGAGTCATCAGCCAAGACTAATGTACTCCTTCTTGGTTTCTTGCTTAGTATCCATACCTTTTTAGGGGGGTTGTGACGTGGTCCGGTGGTGGACAAAGGGTGCCCAAAAGCCCGGTCGATTTTCTGCCGAGGGACTTGTGCAGTAACCGATATAGGCGAAGTATAATGTAAAAGACGAGTGTCTCCAAGCTCTGTGTGTCTTGTCAAAAAAAAATTGTCATGCCATGGTCTATTATAGGGAATGGACTTAAACTTAAAACGGTCACACCGTGATGTTAGTCAGACCATTTCATTGTCACTTCTTCCATTGTAGATGGCGCTCTTTCATCCTGACGTCAATGATTACGTATTTTGGTGGCCTATATTTTAATTTAAAAAGACAAGTGAACTGAGGGACTGTTATGAAAAAAAACCAGGAAAATGTTGACGTGTCTTTGTCTTCTATCAAAGAATCGCTCCCATGATGTTACTGTTCGTTTATAAATACGGCGTAGAAGTTGCTGGTAGGTCGCTTACTATTCCGTTTTTCATCATTTTAGTAAAAAAAAAAATCCCTCCATAATTTACTTCTTCTGACAGAAATTGTTGCTGGTTACCTTTAAAAAAATTCCCTTTGTCACGGTCCGACTTATAATGCAATAAAACGGTAAATTATACCGGCGTCGGCTGATCTTTTTTGTAATGGCTCTGACAGATGCCCGCATGTTCGGTTCCGTTTCATTCATAAAAATGCTAATGAGGTGGCAGTCTCTCTTTACAAATGCATATACCGTATAACCGTTGTGTTTTTGAATATGCAAATGAAGTTTTAATTTTCCTTGTATTTGCCTTAATGACTTGATAAATTTTCCACGCAGCTGCCGATGATTATTCCGTAGATGTGAGTTGTAATTAATAGCCTTCCGGACCGAGTTGAATATTGGTTCTACTTGACTGGTGAGCGTTTTTGTCGATCTTAAAGAGTCTGGAGATGTCATTTTCAAATAGGTCGGGGGGTTCAAATGTTGGTGAACCGTCTGGTCCCC